GCAGCGTGTCGTTACACCTGTGAAACTACAACCGTTAAATTCAAGGTCTGTCAAGGCATAAAACGGTAAAAATGGAAAGTCATATAATTCTCATGTCATTTTCACAGAAGTTAGTGCAGAATTTGACAAGCGTGTAGTTGCACATGCTCATCCCTCTGCCCTAACTAGTGAAAGGTGGCCTAACTGTTAAAACTGTAGAACAGTTTCTATGTACCAAAATTGTACCATGATGTGTTTATTATATGGCTTGACATAACACTCGCCGTAAGGTCAAAATATTACCTTTCATTGGTCTGACGCGTTTCGTTACTGGCAGTGGGTAACATGAGAGAAACATTAGTTGCATAAAAACAACGATCAGTCTATTTCATTTGTTCTACATGCAGTGAATTGCAAAATCATGCTGAGATGACTCAGGCTTTTCCATTTTTTAGTGACTATTAATCAGTAATTACATTAGTAGAGATGTACCAAAACGTTTATAGGAAGAAGAATTAAACAGAAGACGGCAAGTTTCTGTATTAGTTCCTATGCTACTTGATGTCAAAAGTCGTTCTACTTGGAAATATACGAACAATAATGGCTTTTCCACCGACCCCCTTGCCGAGCATCAGGCACTGTACGCTTACCGTTTGCACACCTGTGATCAAAGTTGTAATCTCGCTCGCATTTTTTACGTTCCAGACTTGACTACTTCAAAATCTCATGGACCCCGGAGGAGAAACGAATTTTCACCGAGAGGTTCATTCAGCACGGCAAGAATTTTGCTGCAGTTGCCATGTATTTGCCCAGGAAGGTAAGAAGGCAGAATCGGCGGCTTACTTCGCGATTTTCATCACTGTTACAGACCACGGCCGACTGTGTTCAGTTTTACTACCTGACAAAGAAGTCAGAGAAGTACAAGAATCTCCTCCGTCGTCAGCACCGTCGAAGAGGAAGCAGATTTTACAAGCCTTTGCCGGTAATCATTGTACTAATCCAGATTGAACGTAACCCTTCGTAGTTTGAAACCGTTACTGGCCATATCGTTTATACGGCAAAATGACTTTCGTATTGGCAGAGATAGCCATGCGCGCGATTAAAGTATCTGGGATCAAGTACTGGTCCTTGCAACAACTACCCAATCAGGCTTCCATAGCCGTTTCATTTAGGGAGCTGCTCCCTCCTCACTGACCATTCTT